GGGGGGCAACGGTTTGTACTTGAAGATGAACTTGAAGATGAACGCAAAGGCTGGCAGTTCAAATCCACCCAGTGGAGGAGCCTCAGAAGCAAAGTATGGCAATCAGCTTCCAGTGAGGATCGCGGCCAAGAAAAGCCCAGGGTGCAGTTCCATTCCGTTTACACGGGGTACCTGTGAGTGTCAGATTCCACTTCACTTCACGCAGCAGGTCCCTTTCTTTAGTGGTTATGTTTTTGCCTCTGGAAGTGGGGGTGGGGTGGGGGCCTGGCTACAGCGGCCGCCTTTGAGAAAGAAGTGTCTAGACAGGTCTCTAATCCCATCTCCCCCGGGGCCTGGCTGCCCGACCTGGGAAGTAAGTGGACTTTTCTAGGGCAGGGCTCTTTGAAGCTTTTCTTTTTTTCTTTTTCTCTTTTGATGATGACTCACTGTGACCCAGTTTGCGCAGCCAGAGACACACAAAGATGTAGATACACATTATATATAGACACACCTATACTATATACATATGCAATACGGATGGTGTACAAAAATATATATTAATAATGGCTAATCACATATTATAGCTGCACACCTAGACATATCTCATATGTGTCTGTACTCACAAGACTCGCTCTCATCGAGTGGGTTCTGACTCACCGCGACCCTGCAGGACAGGTAGAACTGCCCCTGTGGATTTCTGAGACTATAACTTTTGTTTCTTTTTTGAGACTGTAACTCATTATGGCAGTAGGAAGCCTCATCTTTGTCCCTTGGAGTGGCTGGTGGTTTGGAACTGCTGACCGAGCCGTTAGCAGCCTAACGTGTAACCACTCGGCCACCGGGGCTCCTTGACAGCCTGGAAAACTCTCTCTAGAGCAGTGGCTCTCATCCTTCCTAATGCCGTGACCCTCCCAACCATAAAATTATTTTTGTTGCTACTTCATCACTGTCATTTTGCTGCTGCGATGAATCGCCATGTGAATATCTGATAGGCAGGATGTATTTTCCTTGTTACAAACGGAACATCATTAAACATAATTAAAGCATAGTGATTAATCACAAAACAATATGCAATTGTTTATATGTTTTCCCAAAGGGGTTGCGACCCACAGGTTGAGAACCGCTGCTCTATAGGGTCACTATGAGTTGGAATTGCCAACTGACTTGATGGCAGTGGTTTTTGGTTTTTGTACACTAAAGAGCCTCTGCAACACAATGGTTGAACACCAGCTCTTGGATGCCAACCAAAAGGTTGGGTGTTCGAACCCTCCCGGCAGCTTAGCCAAAGGAAGACCTGGTGATGCCTGGGTGACTGGGTCCTGGGAGGATTTCCACCTCGGAAACCGTAGGGGGCAGCTGGAAACAATGTTGTGGTTAACCCCCTACCCCCTACTTATGGTCCATTAAAGAGAAAGGCAAGACTATGTTGTGATTGCGGCTGCATCCACTTAGTCCACTGACCAGCAGTGGCTTTAGGCTTAGCTGGACAGTCACACTCACAGGGCCCAAATAGGCTGTAACTCGGCACCGGTTGATGGGACCCGATAGACCTCAGGACAGGAAGCAGGGTCGGTTGGCACCACCACATCAAAGTCAGCTAACCCAGGTCCTTGATAATCCAGAGGCTGCTTCTTGGACCGCCCCCCCCCCCAAAAAAAA